GAATGTTATGTAGTATCCCTGACCTCTATCCAATAAGTGGAAGCAGCTCCACCACAGCCCCTACAGGGTTTAGGAAATAAAATGTCCCCCCATGTAGTCAGATGGCCACAGGGGAGAAAACTGTGACCGACAGAGAAGCATAGCTTGGGGAGCCTGGCAGGCCCACTTTCTGGTCCATCATCAGGGGAACCAACCATCCTTCATCCTGGCCAATAACATTCCCAGAACATGGTGTCACCCACCTCCCAAGCCTGGGTAAACTTCTCAGATGTCTGAAGGGGCCCTTAAGGCAGGCTGAATATCTTCAAAAACTGTCAATAGCTTGTGAATCAGGGGAAATGTCTGATTCAGATCCCATTATCCAGAGGAGTGTGAGATGGAAGTGGGGTCCAGTCTCTATTCTTTCTCCAACAGGGACTCTAACATCTTTTGGCCTCTGGCTCTGAGGTTGGCCCTCTGTGGACAAGGACCCTGACTCCCTCACAGCATCTCCAGCCCCACAGTGTGCCCTCCTTTTGGTGATCCTTCACAGGAGCTCCAGACTCACAGTCTTCCCACCATGATGCTGATGGCCCTGCCTGGAGGCAGGTGAGTGGACTTGGAGACAGGAATTCTACGGTTTGAGTCAAGCTCAGCTTTATCCACCCACATGGTTCCTAGAATAGAACCCATGGTCCCCCCCCCAGTTAAAATATCAGAAACAGCAACGAGTTAGTACCCTTGAGCCCCACTGATCATCCTCCTGCGCCTCTACTTTGTGTCTGTCTCTGGCAACAAGGGTTGATATAGATAAGGCTTCAGTGGCCAAATCACACTGATCCAGCGCAAGTTTTACATTTGCTCTGGGGATGGCTGAGTTTCACAGGAGGTAATGGTCTTTTAGGCAGAAAAAGGAAGCTTCAAATGAAATCACTGTAAGTCACAGGCCCCAGGAGACCAAGGATCTGCCCTGTGAGATGGGTGTAGGACCCTGTCCTGGAACAGCAAAGGCTTGCCATACCTTGGATCCATTCTTGACTCTGCATGTCTCTGTATCACTAGCCCTCATGTCCATATCCCACATTCCAGAAACCCTGGAGTCTGTCTGTGCCAGCAACCTAATATGCTTTGTGCCCTGGGTCTAGGAGCAGGGGATGCCTGTTATCTTCTGGATGTCAGCAGTCCTCACGACTCCAAGATTGCAACCAAGCTCACCTTTCAAGAAACATTCCACAGAGCTTGTATAGCCACGGAAAAAACAATCCAGCTGAATGTGTCCTTTTCGTTGCCGGGTCTGGGCTGGAGACCTGTGGTGACTGACTGAGGTCTGGCTGGCTGGCTGGGAAAATATCAGGACAGGGCTTGAAACTAGCTGAGAGGCATGGCTCACATAGAGCAGAAATGGTTCCGGTGGCTGTCACTGGGAGAGGAGGCAGATGTCAAAGTCCTGCTTCTCGGGTCCCGTCTTTTCTTCCTTGTATGAGCATACACGGAGAAGGTGAGGGTCATGTACCCAGTGCCGGAGCCTAGAACTAAGGGCACAACAGATGAGCTGAGCCCTGCTCTCATGAAACTAGTGTGATGGAAGGTTGCACAGACAGGTACATCAAGGATGGGTTATGCAGGAGGCCACCGGTGTGGAAACCACCAAGGATTCCTAGTACTCAGTGCTGGGGGAAGAACATACAGAACACACACAGTGATGGGGGACTTCCATGCTGGATACTTGGGCTCTGAGAATGTGGCCTAGTCTTAGAACCAACTGCTGAGCTTGCCACGGCCTTGTCAATACTTTGCTGTTCTAGCACTAGTCAAGCCTGAGCCAAACAGAAAGCTCACTCTACAGACCACGGCAGAGGCTTAGCAATGCCGAGTTGTCCCTGGAGCAGGAGAGCTCATGTCTAGGATTCCTGACAGGCTTGGAGGGGGCTAGGCTAGAGGAGAAAAGGCTAAACATTTCTCAGGCCAGCTACTTCCTTTACAAAGGTAGCATGGCACTGAGTGGCATTACACAAGCCTCCATTCTGTGGCGTCTGCAAAAGTAAACAAAAAAGAGTGCACATGAAGGACTAGACTGGGCCCAGCAGTGCTTGCTGTGACAGGAAGGACCTGTGGGCTAAGGATGGAAGATCACAGGGGCTCCCGTGGGCATTTCTGAGGATACAATCTGGGGGCATTCTTTTAGCAAAACTATCATCCATCCAGACTCTCTCTCTGTTTCTGTCTCTGCCTCTGTCTCTCTCCACCTCTTAACACAAGGCATGCTGTCCTTGTTGGTTCTGGTCTCCTGTTTAGGAATTCCAAATGACAATATCTACTCCAGCCTCAGCCAGATCAACTTTGTGGACCTCAGTGAAGATGACCAGCCCAAATGTCCTGATGTCTTATCCAACACTTTAGAAAGCTTGAGGGCAAGCCAGCTGCACGCCTGAAATCATCTTGGGTTTGGGGAACTGGCCCAAAGGCTGCCCCTAGTATGGGCGTCGTGGTGTCTATTGCAATCTGCTCTCTTGTCGAGTCTTACTACACTCAGTACACAAGGCCTCCCTAAGAGAAAACAGAGCACCACTTACAGAGCCCTCAGGGCGATGAAAAGGCTTGTCTTCCTTACAAACTCCCTGGCATGTGCTGAAGCTGACTTCCGGTTGAAGGCCCTTCCACAATCAGTGCACACAAAGGGTTTCTTTTATGTGACTTCAGTGATGCATAACTGGAGAGTTTCTAGAGCCACTGTATTTTAAGGCATCTCTAATGTATGAAATCTCTGGCGGAAGATCTTCCCAAACTGAAAACGCACTATCTGGGGCTGGAGAGATGGCTCAGTGGTTAAGAGAACCGGCTGCTCTTCCAGAGGTCCTGGGTTCAATTCCCAGCAACCACCTATAAAGGGATCTACTGCCCCCTTCTGGCATATAGGTGTACAGACAGACAGAGCAACTCCTACATTAAAAATAAATAAATAGGAAAAAAGAAAGTGCGGTATCTGCAAGTAACGACTTTGATGACACACCTCTAGTTGGATGCATCGCAAAATGACAAACCACAGTTGCTGCAATGGTAGCAACCCCCTCCTCCTTGTAATAACATTCCGAAGGCTCCTCTGCAATGTGTTTGCTGGGGAGATGGCAGTGCTGACTTCTAGAGGAAGGGCCTTCTTCGTGTGTAACAAGCGTTCTCTCCCTCGTGTGTTAAGTGATGTTTCTGCAAAGATGGCCTGCTATGGCAAGCCTCCCCACATTCAGGACCCACATAACGGCTTTCCCACAGTCCCTGCCTTTGTAAGGCTTCTCACCAGTGTGTGAATTCCCTGATGCACTCTGACTTCTGACTAAAGGCTTTCCCACACGCACTACATAAATGGTGTTTTCCTCCAGTATGAAGTTTCTGGCGTAGCGTGAGGGATAATTTCCAGCAGAAGGTCTTCCCACATTCAGAACACATGTACGGTCTCCCTGTACGAAGGCGATGGTGCACCTTCAGGTGTGGTGTTTTACTCAACGATCTTCCACAGTCCTGACGGTTGTTAAGGCTTCTCCCCGACAGGAGTTTGATCATGGGATGTCAGCCTGATGTCTGGAGAAAGGAGTTGCCCCATGTTTGACATATGGGAGATGGATCCCTAGTGTGAGTCATGTTATGTGTATAGAAACCTGACTTGGCACTAAAGGCCTTCCCACACTCCGTGCACACGTAGGGTTTCTCTCCTGTGTGGGTCCTCTGGTGTGTGCTGAGGACTGACCTCTGGCTGAAGGCCTTCCCACAGTCAGAACACACATACGGTCTCTCAGCAGCATGAATTCGATTGCGTGCCTTCAGATGGGTTGTTACCAAAGGACTTCCCACGGTCACGACACTCATCAGATTAGTCTCCTCTGTGAGCTCCACGGTGCACCTGCGGGAGGGAGATGCGAGTGAAACCTCTCTCGTAGGCGAGACCTTTGTGAGGCTTCTTCTCGGATGGGAGGTCATCTCAGATCCCTTGCGGAAAGCTACCCCACGTCGATGACAGACAAAAGGCCTCTGTGGTGTGTGCCATCTGGTGCTTGTGAGAAGCTGACCTGACACTGAGGGCCTTTCACGATCAGTACACTAGTGGTTTCTCCCGAGACTGACTTCCATGCTGTGGAAGTGATGGTTCCTGATTAACTTTTCCTAACTGATTGCCTTTGTGTGGTTTCTCCGTAGAGGCAATCTTAGATTCAGCATTTCAAGAGCCTTGGGTGAAGAGTGGATCTGATGCAACAGTGTTGTTAAGCTGCTTTGTGACGCTGCTTTGATTCTGACCATTTGATTCTAGGTTAGAGTTAAACCTTTTGCAAAGGTTTTAACACTTTGGAAGTTCTTCTTGTGTAGAAATACAATTGTACATCAAAGCAGCGGTTTTCTCAGACTCTTTACATTTACAGAGGCTGTCTGTGTTCAGTATTTTCTTTTTTTTATTAATTACACTTTATTCATTTTGTATCCCCCATAAGCCCCTCCCTCCCCTTTCTGCATGCATGCCACTCCCCAAGTCCACTGATAGGGGAGGTTCTCCTCTCCTTTCTGATCTTAGTCTATCAGTTCTCATCAAAAGTGGCTGCATTGTCCTCTACTGTGGCCTGGTAAGGCTGCTCCCCCCTCAGGGGGAGGTGATCAACGAGCAGGCCAATCAGATTATGTCAGAGGCAGTCCCTCTTCCCATTACTATGTCACCCACTTGGACACTAAGCTGCCATGAACTACATCTACATGCCCCTACATGGGCAGGGGTTCCAGGTTATCTCCACGAATAGTCCTTGGTTGGAGTATGAGTCTCTGGGAAGTTCCCTGTGTTCAAATTATCTTGTTCTGTTGCTCTGCTTGTGGAGTTCCCGTCCTCTCCAGCTCTTACTATTTCCCACTTCTTACATAAAATTCCATTCACTCTGCCCATCAGTTGGCCATCAGGCTCAGCATCTGCTTTGACAGTCTATACTGCAGAGGCTTTCCGAGGCCCTCTGTGGCAGGTTCCAAGGTCGTTTCGTTCAGTATCTTCTTACTGAGAAAGGTATCAGGACTCAAGGGCGGTGTCTGGTGTTCCTGTCTCCCTTTGCCACAGCTCTTGTAGAACAGAACACCATCAACCACGATCAGTTGCTGTATCATTTTGGACTGAAACTTCCTCAGAAACTTCCTGTGATGGGCCATCAAGCCCAGACTCCCCTTCTAGAAAGAGAAAGAAATGAAGGAATAGGCACAATACCAGGATGGAAGAAGGAATCACACAAAGCTGATTGAGAGCGAAGACAGAGACATCTGAATCAGATACTAACAACGCCGATGGTGGTAACAATGAGTAGAAGAGCCCCCAACCCATACGGTATGTCAGACACTCATCTTTACAACTGTGCCATGGACAGACCAACTGTGGCAACTCTTCCCACTCTCAGTTTTAGAGATTAACAAACTGAAGAACAGACTGCTTCGGGGAGTGGCCAAAATCGCCTTGCTCCTCAGCAAGGAAGATCAGGTTTGGAGAATGCAACGAGGTCAACCTTATAAAGAGTACTCAGATTCTTAGATGTAGTAGGAAAAGCAGGGTAGGAAGAAGAGCAGTCTTTCATGGGGTACTCTTAGAACAGAATCAAGTGTGAAGGAGAGACTCAGCGGAGGACTTCATCAGCGGTGGAGAAGAGCATATTAATGTCCTTTGCCCATTTCATGTGTTTATGATTTTGTTGCATTTTTTTCTTCTTTAATTTTTGTCCTGTGGTATTGGGGATTGAGCCCCATGCGACAGCCTCTCCACCCCTGAGCTAGGACCCAGACCCTGAAGTTTTCATTATTTTATTTGTTTCTATTTTTAGATAAGGTCTCATGCAGTATAGGGTAAACTTGAACTTCTGATCCTCCTGCCTCCTCCTGTGATTACAGAAGAAAGCCACCATGCCCAGATATTTTCACTTTTAAACAGGAACTTTACACATACATTAGCTTTGCTTATGCTCTCAATCTTACATTATGTATCTCCAGGCACATGCTTAGAATACTCCTAATTTTTCATGTTGTAGATATCATGTAAATGTACAAAGATTATAGTTTACGACTAAAATGTCTAATGTAACCTATCAGAACCATGCTGGAGAGCTTTTATGACTCTCAGATATGTCTTACTCATGTGGCCATGAGCTCAACAGTTTCTTCATATCCTTTACCCAAAACCCAGTTTGCTTTCTCTGCTTCTTCGTTTCAGTCCCACACTGCTTCATGTGTGCCAAAAAAATAACTTCCAGTGTCACGGGCGTCTGGGGTAGGATCACTGTGTCTAAACTTCAAAAGCAATTACTCTGCGGACCCTCCTGTCCGCTTGTACCTCAGGCAGCCCTTCATTAAGCAGAACAAGGGCGCCAAGGAGACGCTCTTTTCACCTCAGGCTACCATTAGTCACATTAGAATTCCTTCCCTTGGGTTTCCATAATCAGATATTGAAAATCTCCTTCTAAATAGGTGAAAATATTATCTTCTGCCTATCTTTGGAAATTCAGTTCTGCCTATCATCTGTTTGTCTGTCTGTCTGTCTGTCTATCAATTGTCCAGCCAAAAATAGTGTCCTCAGGCTTAACATCAATGTGACAAAAGTCAAAGTTCAGTGAGATTCTGTCTCAGAAAGTGAGGGAGAAGGATGATGAGATGGCTTCATAGGTAAGGGTGCTCGCTTCCAAGCCTGAGCTCGATCCCCAGGACTCAAATGGTGGAAGGGAGAACCAGCTTCTGCAAGTTGTCCTCGGAATTCCACACACACGAGCCTTTGGCATTCTTACATCTACAGACAGACACACACACACACACACACACACACTTAGAAAGGAGGCTGTCTTGTGGAAAGCAGCTAAATGTGGTAGCCGATGGTGCCAGCACCAGGACTGCAGAAATGAACGCAGGCATCATCACAACACAAGTATGATGCTCAGGGTGACTGGGTCATTGGAAGCAACACCCACAGGACTACACAGCTGCAGGAAGATCCAGTAGAGAAAAGAGCATCAGTGAATGTAAGAAAAACATGAAATAAAATAAAGCAAAACTACATGACCACAAAACTGATAATACAGAAAGCAAAGCACTAATGGGAAACTAAGTCAGCTGACATAAAATGGGGTGCTCTATTAGAAAAATAAAATTAGGAAAACAAAGTCTATTTACACATCCCATGTGCCTACTGTCCAAGGTGACCGACAAGATGTCTAAATGCAAGCCTTCCGGTGTTTGTGCGTGAGGCTGTTCATCAACCATAAGGAGATGAGGTTGAATTAATCAACTCAGGCACCCTGATCTCCAGGAGGAAGCTGGCCAGTTCTTAATGTCCATCTCTGAATGACCCACCTCTGTATTTATAATGATTGTAGATATCTGAAACAGAAAACAACCTTTATGCTCCACTGGACAAGAAAGTAGGCTGAAACTGGCCCCAGGACACCATCCATGCGTATGTGGGTAACAGCCACTCACTTTGATACCCCTGGTATGTGAACTCAGCCTTCCCCATCTGTGCCTCCTTTCCTCTCTTGACCCCGAAGATGACCTCTACACTGGGAATGACACACCCTGTGAACTGGAAGGATGTTAGATTTTTTTAAAATAATTATTTATTTATTTATTTATTTGTTTGTTTGTTTGTTTGTTAGCATCTATGCAATGTTCTGCTTGCATGTACACCTTCATGCCAGAAGAGGGCACCAGATGGTTGTGAGCCACCATGTGTTTGCTGGGAATTGAACTCAGGAGCTCTGGAAGAGCAGCCAGTGCTCTTAACCTCTGAGCCATCTCTCCAGCCCCCCTTGGATGTTAGAGTTTTAAATTTTATTTCTTTTTTAAATATTTATTTATTATTTATACAGCATTCTGCCTGCACACCAGAAGAAGGCACCAGATCTCACTATAGAAGGTTATGAACCACCATGTGGTTGCTGGGAATTGAACTCAGAACCTCTGGAAGAACAGTAAGTGTTCTTAAGCTCTGAACCATCTCTCCAGCCTCTAAATTTTATTTCTTTACAGGTAGCTTCATGGGTTCATAACAGTCAACATTTCCCGCTCGACAAAATGTAATCTTTAGGGACCCCCAAAAAATTAAACTGAAAGATCACCACAGCTAAAACCATTAAATACTTGTGATATTCTACCATTTTTTGGCAAAGGGAAGGAAAGAAACCCTCAATGAGGCCCACCCTGCATCCCCAGGCCAGCTGTGCTCCCCACTGACAAGAGGTGGCTGTCGATCTCCTCCTGGTACATCACCTCCTGTACCAGCATCACCTCCTGGTACAGGCGTCTCTGGGCAGAATCCGGGCACCACCACTCCTCCTGGCTGAAGTCCACAGTCACATCCTCAAATGACACCAATCTCTGTAGCATGAATGATGGGTACATGGATAGGACTAGGATAGGACTAGGACATGGCATGCAGGGCTGGGCTGGAAGTGACTCTTCACCAGGATACGTCGTTAGACTTCTTACAACACCCATTTCACATTCCATTCTAGGGATGAAGAGAGCTTACTTTAAAAAAAAAAAAATTATATATTCAAGTTGTTTTCCGTATCAAGGATGTCAGACACAATTTGTTCTAAACTGGAAGAGTTAATGGTGAAAAGATCTACATGACAGAAGGACAATTTGGAAGACAGCTACAGTAGCGCCATTTCTCATAAAAAAAAAAATAGCTCTAAACTATTGGTGAAAGCCTGCTGGGTCTTTATAAAGGAGGGTCGCATTGGTAAGACCTGACCCGCTGAACAAGCGTAGTCTCACAGCAGCGAGATGAGCAGACACGCTGCAGCCTGGCAGGGCGCACTAGCGCACAGTCAGCTGCCCTGGGAAATGACCTCGCTAACCTGATCAAGCCTCTGGACCAAAGCTCTCCAACTAAAATGGAATGTGAGCTTTTAAGTCAACGGTTCTCAACTTTCCTGATGCTATGACCCTTTAATCCAGTTCAGGTCGTGGTGACCCCTGCCCGACCATAAAATTACTTCATTGCCGCTTCTTAAGTGTAATTTTACGATCGTTGTGAATCGTAATGTAAATATCTGATATGCAGGATATCTGATGCGACCCTCAAGGGGGTCGTGACCCCCGGGTTGAGAACTACTGCTCTAAGTCATCTCCTAATTTCTGGTAGCCATATTCCAAAGAAACAGATGGAACTGATTTAATGCTGTAGTTTATTTAGCATTTCCAAAGTATTAGTTCAAGAAACTAAGCTTTGAGGGCTGGAGAGATGGCTCAGCGGTTAAGAGAACTTGTTCTTCTGAGGACCTGGGCTTGACTCACTTGGTGGCTCACAACCATCTGTCACTCTGGCTCCAGACTGGCACCCTCTTCCAGACTCCATAGGCACCAGGCTCACACGTGGTGCACAGATATACATGCAGGCAAAATACCCAGACATCTAAAATAAGAAATAAATAATGAGAATACTTATGGTAAGCTTTCAAAAGCCACCAAGAGGCTTGTGGCTGTGGTGGTACAGTCGTTGGGAGGCAAAGGCAGCAGATTTGCTGCAAGTTTGGACCAGCCTGGTCTACACAGCCCAAGTCAAAGGACCGAGGACTCAGCGGTCTGAACATGCATGTGAAAGAACTTGTTGGGTGGCTTTTATTTCTACGGACCGAAGTATTCAGTTGTGGAGAGAGGATGGAGAGGAGAGAATCTTCAGTAATGCAGCTCCCTGCCAGCTACACAGGAAACTCTGGGTCTTTTAGCATTCATGACTCTTCCCCCGTGCTGAGACAGGGCTTTTCAGTGAAACAGCTGTCCAAGTCACTAACCACAATAAACACATTGGTTTACCAAGCTGTACTCAATGGGAAAATTCCCTCAGCCTGAGGCTGCCTTCTTCATTTGAGGTGTAGAAAAATAGACTCTACAGAAACCACTGGGCACAGGGACAGATCTAAATGAAAAAACTAAAAGGCAGCACAGTCAACATGAAAAGATGAGAGCAGGGGGCATGTGTCTCCCGTGATCCACTAAACCATTTCAGAACCTGGGAGCCCCGGACCTGCTGCTTCCAGTGTCCGTCTCTAGTTCTGAAGGTCTGAGCCTGGGGACACACCCACTCACCTCACACGATCCGTCCCACTCTTGTGCTCCCAGTCTCTGGGGCTCCTGGGGTAATTTCATAGCAGCAGATACGTCTTCACTGGTTGCAACTCTTGGTATCTCTTGCTAGAAGATCTGATTTCCACAGGAGCTAGCAGCTGGGTGGGTGACTAAAGGTTCTCAGCAGAGCTGCTGGGCAGAGGCCGGCTGCGGCATCGCCTGAGTACTGCAGTCTGGACGGCGTGGCATGACCGTGCATCTGGGAAGTCTTGGGAAGTCAATGTCCACGTGACCCCTGATCCAGCACTCACCTCTCAGGTCAGTGGAGATCACTCTGTAAACGTGGCAGAGCAGGCAAACATCGGGCGAGTCCTGCTCTCATTATCAGTCTAACTTAGTCTTTACCCAATCGAGGGTGCAGGCGATGTTCACTGGGTGGGGGCCTGAAGAAGGACAAGGCTCAGCAAGACCAGCACCTGCCGGGCACGTGGCTAATACGAACCCAAACCAGCAAGCTACCAATGTACAATAACCTTGAGTGTTGAGGCCGGGTGCCAGGCCTTAATTAGCTCATGGTCACTGAGTGGAAGAGCAGGTAAGGATCGGTCTCACACAACACACCATCCATACTGTCTACCCTTCTGTTCTTCCTCTTGACTTAAAAGCTCAGGGGGCAACGTCTGGGTTCTATTCAGTTTCTAGGCTAGTGCTGTGTCCATACGTGACGTGTCACACAGCCTATTCTTTTCTGACACTTACAATTTACAATCCCTTGGTGGTTCAGAAAACCTGCACTTACGTGCCAGGCCCTCCATTCACAGACAACTTCATGCCTGACCAGAAGGAGTCGCCGCTACTGCAGCAGAATGCTGACACTGACACCAGTAACGTTCAGTGTTCTCTGACGACCACAAAACTGCATTTTTTCTTCCCAGTCCTGAGGTGTTTCAGGCTCCTGAAAATGTCACTCCCTTGGAAGCCAATAGACATTTCCCAAATAATCTAATTTACTGGTTTCCTTAGATTCAATCCCAAACACAGCTCAAATAACATGCCCAGGGTGGAAGCAGTGTCAATCTGTCACCCGTCATCCACAGACACCATGTCCCCGGGGTGAGAAGAGAAGACAGCGCTGGTTCATACCTACATACATGTCCTAAGGACACAAGTAGGGACTAAGGTTTATTTTTATTTTTTAAATCGTCTTTTCTGCTCTGTCACTCTTAGGAAATAGCATTCTGGGATTGGAAAGTCCTCAGAAGTCCTGGCACCTGCATAGAAGCGCCGTTGACTGCTGTCCAGAGCCAAATGAACATGTGCTTATGTCCTCTGTAAATTTAACCTACAAAAGCCATGGAATTGGGGAAGTTCAGTGGGCACATAGGCCTTCTGGAAGGCAGTCTGGTATTTTGCAAGCAACCTCAGAACTGCTTCCAGCCTCTGACACCCTTTCTATGCTGCTGTGTCTTTCAAAAATCTGGCATGGTGTGAACCCCCACTTTCTGGGTATTTACCCACTCTGATAGAACAAACTTCCTACAGATCTTTATGAAGATGCACTGCTGTTCAAATGAATTAATTCTTTGGGGGGGCATACTTTTATGAGATACTTTATTTTTAATTCATGAATATATATCCATGGATTGAATTTTTTATTTTTATTATTAGTTACATTCTATTAACTCTGTATCCCAGCTGTATCCTGCTCCCTCATTCCCTCCCAATCCCACCCTCCCTCCCTCATCTCCTCCCTGCCCCTTTCTAAGTCCACTGATAGGGGAGGACCTCCTCCCCTTTTATCTCACCCTGTTTTATCAGGTATCTTCAGGACTGGCCGCAAAGTCCTCCTCTGTGGCCTAGGAGGGCTGCTCCTCCCTTGGGGGTGGGGAGGTCAAAGAGCCTGCCATTGAGTTCATGTCAGATATAGTCCCTGTTCCCCATGAATTAATTCTTGACAATGGAATTCCTGATTTGATTCAAATAATTTTAGAAGTTAAATAGTTGATGGAAAGTTTACAGCTACAATAAATATTTTTATAAACCTCCAGAAGCCTCTCTAGGAGACAAGCTTGAGGCAGATTTGTGGCTTCAGATACGCTTTCACTCAAGAGATGGCACCACGAATCCTGGTATAAACTGTAAACATAGGCAAGTTGGCTTGAACTTCCCAAGAACCCCAGAATATAATGGGGCTACCAAGAAATGTCTAAATTAAGTACAAAACTTAATGTCAAAAAATACAAGCTTTTTTGTTGTAATTCCTTATACCCTGTCAGTTTATGGCATAAAAGGCTGTCATTCTAAACTTATTTTATATCTTCACACCTCTGCGGTTTTTGACTAGAAGCTAATTTCATAGCCCTGGCTGCAGAAAAAAAAAAAAAAAAAAAAGTGGTCAGTTTAAGTTCTCATCATCAGAAGCAGAGCAGCCTGTCCTGAGCTACAGAGATTAAACCTTGTCTCCTTCCCCTCTTCCCTGCCCTTCCTGGCTGCCTCTTGCAGTCTCTGAATTTAAAAGCTTTTTGAATTTAGGTATAGAACAAGAGAAAAAGATGCCAGTTTTTCACTGGCCCCACAGGAGAAAAGACACCAGTCACAAGTCTGACTGGCTCCTCGTTGACCCTAAACACACCAGTACATAACTACAAGAGTTACAAGGCAACTACAGTTTTCATGTGATCGTGACAAAGAACTAAAGAGCCCCCAGGGACTGTGGCATGGCTCACTGCTTGGCTTGTCGATGCATTTAATACCAGCATGAAAAAGCAAAACAGAGTTTGTCCTACAGGAGGTAAGTGAAAACCCTGTTGAGAACTGATGATTGTCAAAATTTTTAAAGATGTGATCTAGCTAAATTTTGGTTAGTTGATGTCAACAATATGTTTGTGAAATCCAAGACTATCATGACAGTTCTTTTGGCAGAATGAAAGCAGATCTTCACAGAATTGGAGTCTCTGGTAGCATTTTTCTCTAAATTGAAACATTCCACCCGGAGGGTGGCTTAATGGTTACATTTATTGTTCTTCTAGATGACTCAAGTTTTATTCTCAGCATCCACATCAGGTATCTCTCGGCCATTTGTAGATCTATTTTGGGAGGAGCCATACCTCTGGAGCAAATGCACATATATTTTCATTTGCAAAGAAATTCACATGGTAAGTTTACCAGTGACCAAGACCATACAATAATGGCCACTGCTGAAGTACAGAATACCCTGGACCCACACCTACTGTTATTTTCAGAGTTAGTACTCACCTGAAAACGCACCTTGGAGATCCTGGGCACAGGGTCTCTGTCACTTGGACCTACCTATTTCCAACCAGCTC